AACTTCACTTGTCTGCACTTACCTCCTGCTATGCGGCCTGGTTCCTAATAGGTCACAGACCAGTACCAGTCAGTGGCCCAGGGGTTGGGGACCCCTGATCTAGTTCACCTTGCCCATTTTACATATGAAGAAACTGAGGCCCAGAGAAACCACAGGTCCTGAAGTTCTGCTTTTAGTGGCAAAACTAGCTCTATAATGCTTCAAAAAAAATCAATCTGATCTGATAAAGCTGTGAACTAGCTCCATTTTGTCTTTTTTACTCATTACCTTGTACACAGAATGAATATATTCAACAAAGCTTTCTTATACCATAAATCCCTGTGAAATCTTACACATGAAGTAGCTCAGAGCAAGTACCCTGATATTAGTTGACAACCAAGTTCAGGATCTGCTATTAGTTTCTTCTCTCATCATCCATAAGAAATGCTATATCCTATCAAATCAATTTTCCAGAGCAGCTGTTAGGCACTTTTTTTTCTTCTGTGATGCACATAAATAATAATGCTTCAACTCCTGTGAGTATACCCAGGATTCTGTTCATTGCTTGCTTGGTGTCTAAACACTTCTTATTCTTCCATCAGAAAGCTTATCAGAAGTATAAGAGAGAGTACTCATAGAGGAAACTTGAAACTGTTTTAATGTACAGAAAAGCAAATTATTCACAGGTTTTAATAAATAAGATAGATTTAATGTTAATTGTTAACAAATTACTTGTGATGTACCTCACTAGTTGTCAAGGTACAACTGTTAACAACTCTCCAGCCCAAGTCTTTGCCATTTGTACATAGGAATGTGACCTACATAGGGAAAGGTGGACATTATCATCTTTGACTTGATCCTCAGAAAGTTAGGATATACTTTATACATCTCTTATTCATATCACAGGTTACCACAAGGAATCCATGAATTTATCTAAACCCTCTGGAGACTCATCAACCATAACAAGTTATTCTAGCTTAGTATTTGGGCAACTGCAGGCCCTCAAGCCCCGGGGTCTCCCTCCCCTACTCATTTGGTAGAGCATATACTACCAAATATACAACCTTGCATATCTGGTTACACTTTAACCTTTAGATGCCCGCTGAATGAATTTATCAGTAAAATGTTAGAACTTAAACATTCCCAAAGCCAGTGTTAAATGAGATCCAAGTGTGACTAGGAAATTTTATTATGTAAAAATCCAGTCCTTTAAAAATAATTTTTAGAGGATTTTTTGCTGTAATAGGATTCAGAGGAACAAGATTCCTTTAAATACAGGATAGGGATAAATAGCAAGGGAAAGGGAACTAGTACAGTTGAGACTAGTGCAGACCTTTGAACAATGCAGGTGTCAGGGACACCAATCCCCGCACAGCTGAAAATCCATGTACAACTTTGGACTCCCCCAAAACTTAACTACAGTAGTCTCTTGGTATCCATGGGGCACTGGTTCCAGGACCTACCCCCAGATAACAAAATGTGCATATGCTCAAGTCTCTTATATAAAATAGCACGGAACAATGCATACAGTTGGCCTTCTGCATCTATAAATTTCCAATCGCAGACTGAAAATATTGTTTTCAATCTGCAATTGGTTGAATTCACGGATATGAAACCTGGGGATACAGAAGGTTGACTGTATATTTAATTGAAAAAAATCCACATATAAGTTGGACCCACACAGTTCAAACCTGTGTTTGAGGGTCAGCTGAATATGTTGAATACTCAAATAACAAGCACATACACATTCTGATTTAATCTTTACAACTCTTAAATGTTACTCCTATTTTATAGATGAAACTAAGCTCAAAGAAGTTGTGCCTTGCTAGTCAGTAAGAAGCCAAGACTTCACCCACATGATTGTCTTATCCCTAGGCCAGTGGTCTTTCTGCTATACATTGCTCCCTATAGTGGAGTCTCCCTATAGTCACTCCCCAGTGACTGAGAAAAGTAATACTTGTATTTGTTTGAAAACCACCTCCAAGTCTGAATGCATGCCCTCTGATGCTAATCTATAGTGAAAAAGCACCATATCCTCTTTTCAGCCATTTTTCCAAACATTATTTTGTGTAAAAAGCCCATTATACGTTTCCTGGTCATTTTAGGTGCTAAATGTTTGTCTCCCCTACCTTTATGTATTCTAGGACGGTCACAATTTGTCATGTATTTCAGGTATTGGTGTACAAAAGTTTTACATATGAGTAAGACTATAGTTATCTTTTAAAGTATTTTTAAATATAGCAACACTTTGAGCTGATATACCCAGATAATTAACAATGATTCAAAAGTCCCATTCCTGAGCTGCAGCTGATAATTCAGTCATCACCATATAAACTTAATATGGATTAATAGTTAAGATACAGCTTCTGGAGTGAGACCAACTTAGGTCTGAATTCTAGCAATGCCAATTACAAGCTATGGCCCTGAACAGGATACTTTATCTAAACCTTGGTTTAGTTATTAATATTACCTACATTCCCTAGAGTTGTGAGGATTAATTAAGGTAACACATGTACCACATTTAGATAGTATCTGGAAATAGTAAGTATTCAATAAATTTTAGCTATTACCCCTTAAATACAGGAGTTTGGTTTACCAATGTAGATTAAGAGTTTTAAGTTCAGAGTGCATTCTCTCATTTACATTTTGCCACCAGAGGGCACCATTGCCTCTGTCCATCTTAAAGAGGTCCTCCCAAGGTCAACATGACCTCAGTGCTCAGCCTTCTTTCCCTTGTCCCCTCCAGTTCTCAGGTACTTAGATGTATCTGGGCCTAGAGCTCCCTTGTCTATTTTATTTATACCAATCCTCCATTAATTTCCCACCTCCCCAGGTCCCATCCATGTTCACAGACTCTAAGCTAGCTCCTGGGAGATACTATTTAGTCCTTTTGTTCCCTTGGTTTTCCCATTGGCCTTACAGTAGTGTCAGGACCTAACAACTTCAAAAAAAGTCCATAAAGTCCTCATGACACTAGGCTCCAGGACACGGTGTCAGGGCTAGAACATTACTATTCCCCACCTTCCTTCCAATCACTAGAGCACCAAAATAGGTTATTCTTATGGCCACTCAATAATTATCCCTTTGGTATCCTCACTCTGAGAATGCCTCCTGTCTCTTGGGGCACTGGAGTTCAGTCCTCTGGTCTGCTGGTTAGTTTCTGTGCATAATTAACCAGAGAGAAGAAATCAGGTCAGATTATTCTAGGGTTATGAGGAAATCCTCTGTGAGATGCTAAATTGGGATCAAATATTGATCAGTGGAACTTTGAAGTCACAGATGAGGTAGCTGAGGTCACTACTCCTCTGGGGCACTGCTTGGCTTCTCTTTATGAAGTTTTTTCTGAAAACTGACCTACTTGATCCGCAACCTAGAGGATCATTGGTTGGTAGGTGGGAAGCTGGGTATGAGGAAACTTGGCAAGAGAAAATGGTGGTTTTCTTTCTCGTTTTCCAAGTCTGAGCTATAAACTAGGTCTTTATAAACTAGGTCTGTCTAAGCAGGGCTTAGATGGTACTGAGACCTCTGAAACTTGTTATTGCTATGTGAGGAGATAAAGAGGACTGTTCACTTGGGGCTTGAGTTTGTAGATAAGATGCCCTGGTCATTGAGTCAGTTCCCTTCTGCCCTTGGGTCAATGACTATGATAGGCTTAGAGAGGTGAAAGGTCCTTAGGTCTTGTCTGCCCAGAGGAATTAGTCATGAGTGGTGTGGAAGCTCACTTTAGTAACATGGTTCATTTAATGGTCTGTGGGAAGCACAGGATAAGAGTAAATAAAAGATAGCTAAGTAGAAGAAGGGGTCCAGAGGCCCTATGGGAGTGATGGGACTAATGTGACAAAAAGGGAGGGTGCTTAGTGCCTGATTTTGGATGAGGGTTTGGTCTGCAGCTCCTGATCTTATGGCTAGATGTGGGTTGGGCTGGTGTATGGGGTACAGTTACTGGAGTAGCGGTGAGACTAATGCCCAGGACCCAGAGTCTCTGGCCTGTGCTGTAAGTCTCCATATTAAAGGGGAGTTTGTAAGACTTGGATTCCCTGGCACCAGACGCAGATAGCCCGCAAAGCACTGGATTATCATGCTCCTACCTCTGCTTTCCTTCTTCACATATTGAGCTCTGTTAGAATCTATAACAACATGGCCTCTGCTTACCTCAAGTGATCTCCATCAAGCGGCTAAACTCTGGCATCATAGCTGATCTGATGTCACCTCTGTGGCCACTAAGTCATTGACCAAACACATTCAAGAAAGCATGCCAAAGGGAAGGAGGAGCAGTTAATGATCAGTTGCCGTGGTAAGAGTTGGCTTCCGAGGATCTTCAAAGGTCGAAGTCCTTGAGTCTTTTTCTCTAATATTCACCTCAGAACTAATCCCAAATGTGTTAACGTCAAGGATAAAGCCTAAGAAGAAAGTTAACTGAGTTCTCAGGCACATACTTAGCCACCTACACGCTGCTCCTCCCACCCCCGCCCAGATCTAACCCTGAATTAGCCTAACCCGGCAGTCCAATCCCCCCTGCCACAAATGCTGTCAACGGTTCAGGTTCCGCCCCCCTACACACACTGGACCAATGGCCGAGCCCAGGGCCAATCCCCTGAGAGAGGCGAAAGCGGGTTCCGGGCAGTAGGCGGGGCCTCGCTGAGGACCCCAGGCTGGGCGCCGCCGCCGATTCGTCTACCCTTTCCCTCGGCCACCTCCTTTCAACCTTGTCCACCCGTCCGCACGGCCTCTGGTGCTGCGGCGGCGGCTCCGGTTCCTGCCGCATCTCTTTTTCCCTCCTTCCCTTCCCACCAGATCCCCGAGTTCGCTCGCCATGGCTTTACTTACTGCGGCCGCCCGGCTCTTCGGGGCCAAGGTGAGCAACTGAAGGAGGGAGCGCGCTGTCCCAGGGTGGGGCTGAGGCGATTGCGGGCCCTCAAGCCCCGGGGTCTCCCTCCCCTACTCATAAGCATCCCAGCGCGCCTTAAAGGGGCCCTGATCTTGGCTGGCCGCCAGCTGTGCATGGAACTCCTAGGGCCATGTGCTTTGCTGGCCTTCCGGCCCCTGGAGGAGAAGTGAGCTCTGTTCGCCGCCGGCCTGCGGTCTTGGGCAGGTGGGGAGGACGGACCCTACTGTCACCCCGCATGTTTAGGCTGGAAGGCAGTGATGAGTAGCCCTCGAAAAAGGAGCCGCTAGTGGAGAACATAATGTGTTTCATTGGAGTTAGGAAAAGAGCCTGTTTGGAGGAGAGAGCAGGTGTGAGAAGAGTGGCAGCGTAAACAGATTATTCACTCTACCGAGGCCTGAGCTGGAGCGCTGGTTAGTTTTGGCTTCTGTTTTTTTATGGAGGGTCTTGTCAATTTCTGAACTGCCTGTTTCCGTTTCTCCAACCCAATTATTTAATTATTTAATTATTTAAGCCTTTCATGACCAAACTGTAGAAATTTCTGCTAGAGTAATGGGACTCGGGTCCTCTTTGTCCTTGGGACTCTTGCACTTACTGTTGATATAGAATGGTTCGACTGGAATGGAGCGTTCCTGTAAAACCTGCATGATTGTCACATATGATTGGAGAAAGAACCAGAAGGATTGTTCCTCCAAATTACAGGCCATTAAGTGAAGACACTAGGCAGGAAATAGTAACCCCAAGGTCACATGACCAATCCTACCACTTGATCACCCAGGTTTTGCTGTTGCTCCTAAGTCTGCTCTACCCAGGAGAGTTTCCACTCATTCTTTGGGGCCCTTTACTTGACTTTTGTTGACTTTTGGATCCCTGGAGTATTGTTGCAGTATTGGTGCTTTCAATTTCAGGTTACCAGTACTTTTGTCTGTGAATAACTTGGCCCTTTAAACAGAGAAGCTGCTGTGCTGAGCGAGTCCCAGCCTTGCCTTCTAATCCAAGCAGGGACAGTCCCACAAGTGACCTTGACTCCTGCAAAGAACTAATACTTTTCTACAGACAGATTAAAGTTGCCAGCACCTTAGAGAAAAGAAAGTCTTAGAATAATTTTGGTTTGCATAGTTGGTGGACAAGGTTAAGCCTGTAGGATTTGTATTGGGTAGAGGCTGATCATTTGGGAGATACTGGTCTTATTTGACTGTTGCTTCTCCTGCTGCCAGGGAACAAGGTAAGGAATCCCCTTGGGAAATGAAGTAAGTTCTAGCTAGTGTTTTGACAGAATAGGGGACACCATAATTAGCTCACTGCAGAACTGCTAACCCAGACCAGTTAGTCTAACTCTGCCGTGAATTTGAAAAAGGCTTTAGAATTTACGTTTTTAATTTATTTTGTCTCTTAAGCCCCCGATGAAGCTCAGAAAGCTTTTGGAATGACAAGGCTATGTAATTGTGTCATTTTTATTTTATTTTTCTGTTAGACATGGACCTAAGGATCCCAGAAACCTGTAAATTGGAAGCCATTACAAAGGCTTTTCGCCCTTAAAACTAGCAAATCCCAACAGACTCAGGACTAGAAATCTCCTGAGTTGTCAGCAGAATGACCGGGATACCAAGAAGCCTTTCACTTTGTCAGCATTGCTAGCACCTGCCTGAGCTTTCTAGATTGGCCTAAAGCTTAATTGGTACGCGATTTTACTTTTGCTCTTAAGGTACGCTTTGGAAGGCAAAAATATGGTCTTCTGACCTGGGAGAACTGACCACTACCACTTTGATTCTCAAGGTCATGTGTAGTTTCACTTTTCGGGGAAGAGATTTTTTTGACTTTGTTAGGAGACACAAATGTTAATCATTCTATTGTTTCACCCTACCCACGGTTAGGTAATTTAATGAACTCCTAAATGGGAGATAGAGACATTCAGAGTCATCAGATAATTTGACTTCTTGTTTATCCAAATGAATTTATACTAAGCAGTGGCTTTATTATTAGCTGTTGGTGGCTTAGCTAATGATGTAAATACTACCTTTCCACAGGTGATCTGGGTTCGGATTGGGGCTGGGAATTAGAGTAAGGCCACCAGTGTGACTTAATCAACCCTAGTTACTCGCTTTACCTTTGAGAATTGCTCTTCCAAGCTAGGATGTTTCATAACAGTAAATCAATCCAAAAGTATTTCTAGATCATTTCTAGACTTTTTCAAGATATTTAAATAAACACCCATGATTCTTTTCCACAGACTTGCACCACTGCACATCATCTCCTGTATAAATCCTAGTCTGAAGTTGGGCTCAACCAAACCAAGTCAGTTTTGTCCTGTGAAATGGTACTTAGGCTTAAAGCCTTTTAAAGGCAAGTGCTCAAATCTCCGTGCCTTCATTTTGATTATCAGCCTACCCAAAGTAATGGCAGTTCCTCGATTCTTACTAGATGGACCAAAGGTGAAATATGGAGAGTAAAGCATCATCACGTGCTGGAGGTGGAATGATTGCATCTGTTTTTCTTAGTGGCTTTTAGATTGATAGCTGGTGAATTCATGGGTGTGGGGAGGCAGCATGGTGAAGTAGGTAGTTAGAAGGGAAGGCTGGCATTCTTGTTTCCTAGAATCCAGGCAGAAAGGCAGGAAACTAGACTTGATGGATCTCTCTAAAGCCACACAATAATTCTTTTGCCCTATTTCACTGCTTTATCTGATAGAGTTGAGTAAGATGTGAAATTTAAAACAGTAGTGATCTTAGGTTCTAACTATTGTTCAGTTCTTCCCTCAACTGCCCAAATTTCTTAGAGCCCTGTATCTCTTTTAATATGCTGTCATTGTAAAAGGTCTGTAAGTTCACAGTGGGCATCATCACCTGGGGTGCTTGTTCAGATTGCACATTGATGAATCCTTCAAATTCTGATTGAGCAAAGGTGGGATAGGATCTGGAAACGTGTGTTTTTTTCAAATGCTTCAGTTAACTAATGATGCTCAGTGGTCCTTTTCTGTTGGGCCAGTAAAGCCACAGGCAGGCCTCTTTGTTTGTAGCTTTATTGAATGTATATATGAAACTTTGAGTATTTGGGTTTTTTTTTTCCCTCAGAATTAGTGATTATTTTAAAAATTGACTTCAGAAATGACAATTCTAAGTAATAGTCCATTTTAGGCTATTTTCTCTAGGTTTGTCTTCGATTGCACATTGATGAATCCTTCAAATTCTGATTGAGCAAAGGTGGGATAGGATCTGGAAACGTGTGTTTTTTTCAAATGCTTCAGTTAACTAATGATGCTCAGTGGTCCTTTTCTGTTGGGCCAGTAAAGCCACAGGCAGGCCTCTTTGTTTGTAGCTTTATTGAATGTATATATGAAATTTTGAGTATTTGGGTTTTTTTTTTCCCTCAATTAGTGATTATTTTAAAAATTGACTTCAGAAATGACAATTCTAAGTAATAGTCCATTTTAGGCTATTTTCTCTAGGTTTGTCTTCCTAGTCTTTTTTTTCAAATACTTTAGGAAAAGTTTCTTGTAAATCCCTCTAGCAAAACATTAGGAGCTAAAACTTGTAAGGGAACAGTCGTAAGGTGACAAATCCTACATACTTTATTCACTAGTGTGCACATAATAAGTAGGTGTTAAGCGAATATTTGTTAAAAACAGTAAAGATTTCTACTAAAAGGAAAATTAGGATTCTTGATTCTTTTAGAGGCTGAATTGGTGTCTTTTCTGTCTTCCTTATTGAATGGTCAGCAAACTTGTAAGGAGGAGTCTGTTAGGAAATGACAGATAAAATTTTTAAGGAAATTCATTGTGAGTATGAAGAGGGTCAAAGTATGAAATCTGATCACTCTGCTCAGGCTATTAAGTGGCCTGAGAGAGTGTTGCAGGCAGACTTCCAATATCACCGTTGTGAAACAGATATTAAATGGCTTTAGTTCTCTGACCTGGTTCTGGAGAGAGAGAAGTCTTTGTCCTATGTGTGTTCTTTTTCTTTTAATGCAGGTTGTTCCTTCTGCATTGGAAGCCTTTGCAGCACAAGAGTTTTCCTAGCAGTTATTAGTGCATTATGTTTGCTTCATCAACTAAGCTAGTTCTGCTTGCTTGGCAAGCTCAGATCTTTTGTTGATGAAGGACAAGGGCTCTTTTACAATCAGGAGCATCTCTCTCAAACTTTTAATGTTGAAGTTCCTAGTTATGTGGCAGGACATAATCTGAATGTGCCTGCGATGGAGGATCAAAGAAAATTTGGCTTTTCTCCTGTAAAGTAAGGTCTTCGATGTGGAGCAATGATTTTGATAGGCTAAGAGGAGTAAGAAAGAAATAACCACATTATTGAGTAGGTGTTTATCCAAGTAGGATTCTATAGTTGTTGTAGTTTGGAGGAGAAGGGAGTTGTTTTCATCGATTTTTGGTAAGTGATTTGGCCAATACCCTATTCCAGAAATACCCTAAGTGTTACAGGCAAGTCTTTGGCACAATTTCCTGCATATACTACTAATCCTCTTCTCCCTTGGCCCTTTAAGATAGAGATTCTTTTAATTCTATTTTCCCATCTTAGCACATTTGAGAGCTACAACTCACTTCTATCAATACTAGCAAACTCACTAGAAGAGTTCTTGCAAGGGTGACAGTAGTGTGAAAAAGCCTCTTAGTGATTGTGATACCCCCACCCTGACTCTGTAGAGAATTCTGGCTGTCAGACATTGTGAGTAGATCCTTATCTTTGGAAACAGCTCTCTCCATCTCCATCTCATGAAGGAGCTGACTGATTGGTGAGGTGACTCCCCGATTCACCTGACAGCTGCTGTTCCAGTAGGATAACTACATGGGGCATGTAACCAGAAGCCAAAAGCTAGTTGCTACACCTCCAAAATTGAGAGAGGAGCTGAGAGGTGAAAGTCCAGGATGACTCAGGTTTGTAATCTGCCTGTTCCATCAGTGAATATAGCCTGAATGTCCTGTACAGAGCTATTCAGCAGCTTTCTTTGGCAGCCAGGGGAGAGGTATAGCCTTGGATCCTCTAGCATCTCCTGTCTAGGGTCATTTGCTCTGCTGTTGGAGATCACTGTTAAATTCGTTTCCTCTTCCTGACTTCTCCCTTCTTGGTTAGGAGGCCCTTAAAGGAAATTGAGGCTTTATATCCTATTCCACAGCTACAGGGAATTATTATTCATTCATCTCTTCCTCAGTCTTGACTGCCTCTTTCCTGGAATCCACCTCCAGGAAAGAATTGTGACACTTGAGATGGTAATAAGCCAACACAGTTCTAAGAAACAAACACTTATTGAACTCAGTTATGCAGAAGGCACTGTTTGTTCTAGGAGCTTTAATGAAAATTATTTTATATAGTCTACTTGTCTACCCTGAAATTGGCTTTATTATTACCAATTTAGAGTTGTGAAAAGAGACGTAAAAGCCTAGGGGTTCAGAACAGGCCTACCCAAAATGTGCCATTTTAGCATGTGAATTTTTTGAGCTGGAGGCAGTTAAGACCCTACAGGCTCACAAGAAACTTATTTCTCCCTTAATGAATTACATTAGGGGCCTTGCCCATAATGATTATCACCAGAAGACTTTTTATGACAAACTTCTAATTATTGAACATTTGCTCTTATTATCCTTCTTTCCCTCTGAAGCCCTAAGATGATCCTTAGTTCAGAATATTATATCTACTTCATTTTTCCTTTCTGCCTTTGAACCTCTCATGTATGTTGGGTTCCCAAGTGTATGTATATATTAAATTAGGTTATTTTTCGTTAATCTGTATCACATAAATTTAATTATTAGACAAGCTGAAAGACTCTAGGAAGAAAGTTGCATCCTCCCCCACAGAAGTTAGGTCATATAGCTAAGGTAACGTACAGGATAGTGGCAGGACCTGGAGTTAGGACTTAATCCTTGATAACTGCACATCCCAGCCTTCACATTTTATCCTCTGCTCTCTTGCTTAACACTTTAGACTATGGGCGTATGTCTTAAACTTTATTGTTCATATGAGTCACCTAGTGAGCTTGTTAAACAGCAGACTTGGGTTCCATAGGTCTGAGGTGAGGCCCAAGATTTCTGCATTTCTAACAATTCCCAGGTAATGTTAATGGCACTGGCTAGGCAGTCATATTTTAAAAGGTACTTTGGAGTACCTTTACATGTGTCCTTGTTGGAGGCTTAGAATCAGCCTTTGAGCCAAGTAGCTTGAGTGTTAACCTAAATATGGAGAAGGAAAGGGAAACAGTAGTTAGTTGTTTGGCTTTGGGCGTCACGGTTATATCAAAATGGTGCTGGGGCTAGAACCTAGATTTCCTTTCCTAGTTCCAATTCTTGTGCTCTGTCTTCTACTCATTAGGTAAAGTTGTCCTCACTTAAAAATTTTCCTGTTCTAGCCTTTTGAGTGGTCATACCAATGAATTGCTGCTGGCTTTAAAACCTTCCTGATTTCTTTAGGTTTTTCCTAAGCTGCAAGGTTAGCTAAAAATATGACTAAACCTGACACTGAGAAACTGGCCATACAATTTCATTTTACATATTTATTATATAACAAATACAGAGGCAGTTGCTATGTCCCAGACATAGTTTTAAATGCTTTGTAAATGTTGACTTAATCCTCAGAGCAATCCTTTGATTTGGTATTGTTCCCATTTTACCAATAATGAAACTGGCAAGGAAAGGTTAAATGACTTGGTCGCATAGCCAGGAAGTGTATACTAGTTTTATTTTATAGCTGCCTAGCTAAGCTCTTCACAAATTAGCACTGCTTTGCAAATTGGAGATCTGGCTAAGAAGTGTTGCTGATGGAGATTAGGGGACCTTTGGAATCAGCTGTCTTTAAGTTACTCTTGAGGCTTCTCATTAAATGACAAAGATGCGCTCTACAAAGGAAATTAAGACTTTGCTGTTGGTGGAAGTGGAGTGATAGTTTAGTTCCAAGTTCCTCTTCCCTAACCATTCACTCAAAGTAGCATTCATATAAACACATCTGAAAAATGTCTAATCCAGTCATGACCCATCTGATTCCTTTAAATGATGTTGCATTCTTACAGCCTTGTTAAGTGACCTTCCACCCTTTTCTTTCTGATTTCTTTTTTGTTTGTTTGTTTTATTTTGTTCCGTTTTAATCTTAAATAAAAGGAGAGGGCAGCTCATTGATTCTAGCAGTTTTCTCTTACAAGGGGAAAAAAACTGTTTTTGTTCTTTGTTCATATTGATGGACGAAAGACCTCCAACCTGAGAGAATTTTCGTTTTCATCTTAAGGGCTCTCATTCTATCTGTTGAGCTTGTATAGATTTTTTTTTTTTTTTTGGACTGAGATAGGACCTTAAACTGTTCTTATAATCTTTCCTCTTGCCAGTGAAGAAGCCAGCCATTATAGAAACTTAAAGATGGTTTAAGAGTAGCAAAATTATCATTATGGAGATATTTCAAACTTCTCTCAAATAATATGTTCCCCTCTTCTTTAAAAACACAACCAAACCACTGCAATAACCAATGACCCACAGTTAAATGGTCTGCTGCAGAGCTGATATGGTCACTGAGATGGGGCCTCGATAGTAGGGGATCATGGGACCGTGGAGCATGGAAAACTTGAACATGGTAAGCTCTGAAGAACAATAGTTTGAACTTATTCACATGTTTTCCCGTACCCACTTTGTGGTGACTAGTAAGAACAGGCAAAGTTACTTTAGTGCTGGGTCTGGCTCCCATTCGCCCCTCGTAGGGTGAATAGGCTAAAGGGATCTTTGTGCTGTTTCTTGCCCAAAAGGTCCTCAGTGAACTAGAGGAGACTCTTAAGGAAGTTAATGAAAGGAGTTGAGAATAGCCCTGCTTAACAAATTGAGGCATTCCCCCTTTCTGTAGGGTCATATAAGTTTGCCTATGTTCTCTAAATTTAGCCTTGGATTGATTTTTTTTTTAATAACCTTTTTCTGAAGGGTACATTCCCTTTTCAAAATGAGAGGTTTTAAAATCTGAAAAGCCTCAGGTCCTG